GGAGCCCCGCGCCCCCGCTGCTCCTTCGCAGCTGCAGCCGGGGAGCTCCCAGCCACACACAGAGAGCTTTTATTTTCCCTGCAAGGAAAGGAGTTGTTGTCCCTGAAGCAGCAATGCTCACCCTAAAGCGAGGCCGCCGCAATTGGAAATACGACTTCCAGGCGTTGGGTCGAAGAAAAAAAAACGACGGTCTTTTCAACTTGACGGTTAACGGTGGAGCCGCGCTCCCGATCTGGGCTCCAGCGAGGCTTGATGCCGAGCCAAACCAGGGTGTAAAACAACTTTCTTCCTCCTCTGCGCCATACGGAGGCGGGGATCTGCAAGCGGGGCGGCCAGTCTGCGACGTAACCTGGACGGGGGAAAGAAGCAGAGCCGCAGGTTTGGGTTTTTAACAAGTTTTAGGCAAAGTTAGGTTGTCTCTCGCAAACGCTGCCTGGTTTAACGGGATTTTAATTCAACGCTGCAGGGCCACGCGTAAACCACAGTTTTATCGTGCTCAGTATGAAACCGTTCTAATTATATCTATGAATTGTGACAGAAAAGGGGAAACCCCTTGGGGAATCCATCCGTGGCACATTTTCTTCTGGCCCCGACCCCCCGAAAAGCAGTAGGTGTGTTTTATTTAGGCGAGTAGCTCCCTTGCGTAAGGGTAAGGGGATACAACGCCCAACGCCGCCCCTCTCATTTATATAATAAGCATTTTTGTTTCAAAAGCGCTCCCGGCAAAGGGGAGCTGCCACTCCACCACACTCACGTGCGTGCTTAACGTTACACAAGAGGATCAAGCGAGGTGTAAATTTAAGCACAAGCACGACGGTTTGCTGGATCACAGCCTAACCTGCAACTCCGCGGATGAGAGGAACAAACCAGAACCCTTAATTCTATCCGGGGACGGAGGTGTGAAATGAATTTAGCCGTGCCAGGCTAAAGCAGCGGGGGTAAGCCGCTTACCGCCAAAATTCAACCAACTTCCAAGCGGTGGCAGAACTAATTGTCATAAAAACATGGCTACGTTAGCGGGAAGCGGAGGAGTATCCTCATCTTTGTAGAAAAGCCCTGTTTGCCTCCATGCTGTTCGCTCCTCCTACGTCAGGGGGGTGGGAAGACTGTAAGTCCACCTCAGCGGAGAAGGAGGAAGCGGAATCGCCAGTATTAGGTGACAAGGGAGGAAAGCAAGTGTGACAGAAATGTTGCCAATGCCCTGCTAAGGAAAATTAAGGTGCAAACAGCACCCCACATCCCGTAGCGCCCGGCTTCCTGGTGAGAGTTGTTAAAAACCCAGCAGGCAGAAGCTTTCCGAGGTGCATCTGCCCGCAGTGGTGTCCAGCGACAGGACTAGGGGCAATGGGTGCAAACTGAAACATAAGAGGTTTCAGTTGAGTATGAGGAAGAACTTCTTCACTCTGAGGGCGGCAGAGCACTGGAACAGGCTGCCCAGGGAGGTTGTGGAGTCTCCTTCTCTGGAGATATTCAAAGCCCGCCTGGATGAAGTCCTGTGTCGCATGCTCTAGGTGAGCCTGCTTTAGCAGGGGGGTTGGACTAGATGATCTCCTGAGGTCCCTTCCAACCCTTACGATTCTGTGATTCTGTGATTCCTGCGGCCGGCGGCGCGGCTGGCGGCTGTGCTTGCAGCTCCCAGGTCTGTCCTTCGGGCGGCTGATGAGATTCGGCAAGTACCTCTTCAGGCTGGTGGAAAGATGACAGCAACTGGTGCTAAGTGCTCTCCGCACCTCCCCGCACCGGGCTGCCAGCGAGCGCGCCGGTGCTCTGCTCGCCGAGTGAACGGTTTCGAAGGCGGCCCTTCCTCCTCCGCTCGGAGAGCACAAAGGCGTTCGGCTGCAAGGAAGAGCTGTAATTGGGTACAAGCACAGACCCAAGGGTAAAGGGCAACCAGCAAAACCACAGATGATTTGATTTCCTAGCAGGCGGGCTTGCAAGCAGAGATGGGCAATTTGGTCTTGGAAATACAACCGGCAACACATTCAGGGAAAAAAGGAAAGCCACCCCGAATCCTGACCACCTCCCACTGCTCTTTGTGCATGCAGTCAGGCACGGCCATGCAGCCAGCTCGCTCCGGGAGGGAGGAAACGGGATGAAAACCTCTTAAAAGGATCGCTAGTGCCAGCGGGTGCTGCCGGAGCAGCCCTGTCCCCAGCAAACATGCTCTCTGCCTCGGCGACAGAGCAATTCCACGTTCATGGCAGAAACTAGGAACGGGCAGTAGCAGCTGCCGCCACCGCCAGTTTGTTGCAAAACAACTGAACTCCAGCATCTTCCATTTTTCAAAGCGTTCATCCTTGAGTGAGTTGAAAGCCTGTGTTGCTGTTCTTACCGAACGGGGAGATTTACAAGAAAAAACCAGTCGTCTTCAGATCTCTGAAGGATTCACAATGGTATCAAAGAGCTTTGCTCTTCTTTCAATGGAGAAGCCACCTACGAGGCACATGTGTTTTGACGCGCTCCGAAAGGGTCATCAGAAAAGGCTCTTACCGTAAACGCTTTCTTATTAACATAGTTGTGTGCTGGAAGTTTAATTACAGAAACTATCAATGCAACAGGAGATAAACACCTTGCTTTTGAAGGGAATTAATTTATTTGGAGATCTACATCACACAGGCATGCTGCTGGAGATCCAAGCAATGCCTGACCTCAATATCGTTAAATCGTGCTCCGGGGAGCTCTCTTGGATTTTAAATACTTTTTTTTAAGAATAACCTTCCTTCTTCTGAAATAAAGCCATGCTTCAACATCGGTGATTCCTCAAAAGCCACCTGCACCCCTTTTTCTAGTTGTTTGCTTGGAAAACAAACAGGCGACAGATATCAAACAGGCAACTTTGCGACATTTTTGGTTACCAATAGGGAAAGGAGGCCCAAGGACTCTGGTTCCCCCCGAAGGAAGGGCAGGCAATACGCGTAGGAAAAGCTGTGGGAAATGCCACGGTTCCCAGCTGCAATGTGCTTTCGAGGAGTCATGAGGCATCCCTGCCTGGAGCTCCCGGGTTCCTGTCCAAAATTCACATTCTATAAAAACACATTTCACCGACGAGCGGAGCCGCTGCGGCAGCTGCGGTGCTGCTTCAGGAGAAGGTCAGCTGCCCAGATGTCGCGTAGTAGCCAGAGGCGTCCGAGGAGAACCTCTGGGAAAGACGCACCGAGTCCAGCTGCACCTCTCCGAAGTAGAAGTTCTCGAAGAGCTGAAAGAGAAGAGAAAAACCATTTGAGGGGCACCTAGAGAAATGCAGCATGCAGCTGGTCCGTGGATCTCTCGCAAGAGCCAGCCCTGCAAAAAGCCTCTACTCATAGACTTGTTTTGCCTTTAATAAAACTATTCTTTAAATTGTTTTCCCCCCTGGAGACTGCACTTAGCCTTAAAAGCAAGCAGTATGAAATGAACACCTCTCGCTATCTACAGCAGCAGTTGCTCAAACCTTCTCTGCCTTGCTTTCCCACCGTGGCTCATTTAGGGAGCCTGGGGAGGCTCTTCACGGCCCCGAAGGCCACCACCTTGGGGTGGCTCTTGAGGTCGCAGGCTCCGCGGGAGCAAGGATTGAGGCCAGGACGTACGACTTACAGTTACGGCTCAGTCCTAATTCAAACTAGCAGGCTGGAGGCGCACGGCTCTTCATCCCAGCACTGACCCGGCTTTGTTCAACAAATCCGTCTTTGTTCGGCAAAGATTTGAGTGCAAATTAATGAAAGCAAGCCAACTCCGGGACCCGGAGGGCGTGTCTGCTGATTAATCCAATCTATGAAGCAGACCAAAAAAATAGCATCAGACTTTCTTAGGGGGAAGTTCAGTGCGATTGCTAGCAAGGCATCGTGTCCAAGGGTAAAGTGCTCCTCCCCTTCCATTAAGACGCAGGAAATTGCTCTACCTGGAAACATCAGTCGTGCCTTAGGAAAAGCTCTTCAGTGGAGATGCTAATTTCCAAACTCCCCTTAACGTGAGCACTGTGAGCAACTGAGGGCTTGAGCAGTGGCATCTCCCCAGCGTGGAGATCTCCAAAATGTCCTTTCCATCTGTCTGCTATTGAATTTTCTATCTGTCCCTGCAGGTGTTGGCTCAAGACAGTTGCACAGCCCTTCCACCATTACAGAGGGCACATTACCAACATTAACGGGACGCGTTAATTACAACACACCCTCCTACAGCCAAAGGTGCACCAGTTCCTCCATACAGTGAATGATCAAACCCCCAAACACCTGGTTAGCATCTGAAAGGCTGTACTTCACCTCCTTCAAAAAGGCATTTGGCTCTGCCTGGCACTGATTTGGGCAGGACTGCGCTTTTGTTGGTTCTCCCAAGGGTATTCTACTTTGCAAACAGCCCTTTTTGCAAGGGGACCAGCCAGGTTGCTTTCAGGACAATTCCTGGTTTTGCTGTCACTCCTCCACAAAGGAAAAGTGCCTTAAGGGAAAGTGATTCCCTGCCCATCTTTGCGGCAGAGCAAGCAGGGCTTGGGCCGGGGAGCACAGCCCAGGTACCTGGGCTGCAGACCAGATGCCAGGCACCGTGGTGAATCCAGCCCCTGCTCCAGGCTGCCAGCTCACCCCGACAACTCTCCACTCAGGATCTGGCTGAGGCCAGCAATTCCCCGTCAACACACGACAGTCAGAACAGCATCTCTGAAGAGAAGGGGTATTTATGTGTGCCGAGCCAGCTCTCAGCGATTGCTAAGCCCCTGCTTCAGTTTGAAACGGCTGCAGCTGCAGTCAGACGTGCTGCGGAGCTCTTGCTGCCAGCAGCCCACCTGCCAGGGACCACCTCCTCCTCCCCAGACCTGCCTGCGTGGCAGCACGGGCAGTCGACCCTCAAGCTGCTTCTGCAAAAAGCAGCTGGGTTAGCACAAACACCGTGAAGAACTGGGTTTCTCTGCGCCAGACCATTTAGTCACAGTGTGCCTGCCTAGGAGAGGCGGTGGGCAGCCTCCGGCTCACCTGCACCTCCCTGCAGCTCATCCTGCCTTTGGGGTGATGCTTGTCCCTTAAGACCCCGGCGCAAGGACTTACTTTGCGACAGGGCCCAAAGTAATTCGCTGCTAATCGCTCAGGCTCATATTAAGCCACAACTTGCTGCCAGTTCTTCTGAACATGTACTCAGCAGGAGCCAGGCGACTCGCCATGGGGGTCATGCAGGTCCCCATCCCAGCAAGAGGCCCCACCAGAGCAGCCCGGCCTCAAGGGATGCTGCATCCGTGGCTCCGTGCAGCCACTGCCCTAAAGCTGGGCACCCTGCTGCAAAGGAGTTGTGCTAAGGCAGCATCTCAGAGAAGGAGAGGAGGAAAAGAGAGAAGAGAAATGACTACAGCCATACAAACTCCATTTTATACAATTAAAGATTTATATAATTAAAGATTAATTATGTTCCCAAAAGCCTGCGTAGTTCATGTTAGAGGACTTAGGATAAAATGTCTCATTAATAAGAGATGGTAGTAAAAAGGGGCTGGTCTCCTTTCTCTTTTTCTTTTGGCTGATCTGAGAAGGGAGGATGATTTCCAGTGTGCCCACTCACCTTAACACCCGTCTCTGTCAAAATTGGTCATTCATATCGACACCCCTTTCCTTCAGAAAGCACGCTCCACCCAGGAAAAACAGAAATAACTTCTCTCCATTCCTAATGGAGGGAGTGGTAGGTGTGCTGGCAAGCAAGGAGATACTAGGATTTGAAAAGGATTTTTTTAAAAGAGAATGGGGATGAGATGCATTTATTTCTGTAGAATGAAGTCTCCACAAACATGAAGAAAACAAATGAAACGCTGGGATGTGCCAGTCCCATCAGCAGCCCTGGAAGTCAAACCTTTACACGAAACAGCCAAAGGAAGAGTCTTTCAAATACTTGTTTATATTACCTCTGCACACCACAACCTGTTTTTCTTACAAAACACATGTACTTCAAAGAGAAAATTAGTTAAAGCGACAAAGCCTGCCCCAGCCTCGCACAGCCTCAGGCACATCGGACCAGAAAGACAATCAGAAAGTCCCAGAAGACAGGGCCCAGGTCAAGGGCCCTCCCATTTGTACACTGCTAAAAATGAAGCAAAACCCTTGTACCAAAGCACTTTGTATTCCCTTGGCTTTTTTAAGACCTACCACCTCCCATGTGTCCGAGTGCGTGTGTGTTTCCCAGGGAGAACACTGCCAGAACTATTGATTTTTGGTAATGCAGCTGTACTTTCTGAGAGTAAACATGCTACAAGATTTAGAGGACAACCACAGACATTTTTTTCTGCTCTCGTTTCAAGCTGTCTTCTCACTGATGCTCCTTTGCTCCCTCAGGCTTCCCACGACAGAAGCCACCGGATGCCAGGCGTGGGGATCACAGCTGAGCCACCGTAGGGCCAAGATCTGCCTCGGGCAGTGGGGAGGAAGACCCCTCAAACGTCATCCTCCAAGACCCCTGAAACACCGGGAGCTGGCTTCCTACCATGAAAGAGTCCTATGCTCAGGTCCCCGGGAGCTTGGGAAGAGATTTCAGAAGGCCAAGCCTCTACTTTTGACTTTCACTTCTATTTATCTTGGGGAGAAGCCAAGCAGAGCTGAGAAAGATATTTATATCTCCCCCCTCTCCCCAGCCACCACGGAAATGCTCCGGTTTCGGAGGAGGCCTGTAGCACAGCTGATGAGATGCCTCCTATAAAAGCATTTCAGCATTTTTTATTCTGGGCCAGGAAAGAAGATACCTGGACGTTGTTACGCTTCACGGCCAAATGCTGAGAACCCTAAGACATGCCTAGTCCCCCTCCTGTCCCTTCCCATGGGTGCCAAGGGCCCACCTTTCCCCAGAAAGGCTGCAGGGAGCAGGAGGAGGCGTGGATCAGGAGAGGCTAGGAGGGAGGTGGGGGGGAGGAAAAACGCAATCACCCGCACAGTTACTGAAAGCCGTGTCATTTGATTGGAGTGGGACGTGAGGCTCAGCAAAAGCGCAGTAATTCTATAAATCCAAACACGCCGAAGGATTTATGTCCTCGCTGCCTAAAGAATAAATAAGAGGTTGGGGGTTGGGATTTTTAAAAATATTGTAAATGAAAATGAACCCGATGGAGGTAAAGGTCAGCTTATGAAGTCAACACCACGCACACCGTGCAAGCTACTAACTCCCATCAAGGGAACAGCACTTACCAGACTAAGTGCCCTCTGTCTCCCTGCTGCCTTCCCAAATTAAATTAGAACCAAATAAGGAAAGAGCATTGTTAACTTTTAACCCCAGACCCAGCACCTCTTAAGCAAACGTGCCAGAGACGTGTCCTGCCTTTCAAACCACAGTCAAAGGCTCAGAGATGGCTCAGCAACGGTGCCTAGAAGGACACAGCATCCTCCCGGGAGCAGCATCCCAGGACCTGCAGGGGATGGCAGGGACTGCAGTCATGCCCCCTTCCCTGAAAGCCATGAGCCCCCGAGGGAGGCAGCGTACTGGCCCATGGATAACCCGTATTTCACATGTCAGCCTGCAAACTACCCTAGGCCCACGTGGGCAAGTGCTCCTCCTTCTCCCTCTCCATTTTGGGGGCCGGGTCTCAGGACACAACCGTGCAGGTAATGATGAAAGGCAGGCAGCCCTGTGGTAGCTCCCAGAAACCAAGCTTTTCTCCCCCAGAGTCACTTATTCTGAGCCAGGAAAAGCCAGCAGCATGCCTGTCATTTCTAACACCCCAATTTCTCTCATTTAAGACAATTTTGTTCAGATGTTGGCATTCCTTCTTCCTCCGAGGTCCGTTCCCCTCTATTACCCACAAATTACACAGCAGGTCTCCCTTGGGGTGCAATGATCATTTTCTGAAGGAAGACAGAGGCTGAAGACTTGTTTTGGGAAAGAAAGAGTCACACATCAAACCGCTTGCTCCTTGCGAACCTGAGCCAAAAATGCTAGTACAAACTTCAGCCCCCCAACCACAACAACTTCCCTTTTTAAAGGCAGAGCAACAGACCAAACCCAGGATGCCTCTTCTCTGCATTTTTCCCCCTTTTGCCCAAGCCTGTAAAGCAGGTTTTACCGAAGCACCGTAGAAACAAATGCAAAAGAGGACGATTCCTCCATGAAGCAGTTTATAAACGTGCGTCTAAATGATGTTGTGCTCCCGAGCGCGGGTATTTGTCAAGCAGCCATCCTCGGGGGCTCGCTTCCCGCAGACAACCCTCCCAGAATGAGACGGCACCTTTGTGTTCAAACCTGGAAACAACAGTAATAAATCACGGC